AACTTTAAAAATTGGCATAATAATATACTAAAGCAAAAATGTGGTGTTCGATCAATATTTGATACTGATAATATGCTACATAACATACAGTCTTCACGTTCAACGAGTTCCTCGAAAAAAAGCCTGGAAAAAAGCAATAGGAGCTATAATCTTGATCCTAAATTTATAAATAGATTCTATGGGCTAAATCTGAAAGAAGAAAAAAAAATTCCATGTCTTTTAGGTTGATCGCTTGTATTTTTTCATGGAATATCTGAATCAAAATAAATACAAACGTATGAAATCTATAGTTCTTTTCTTTCACTTGCATTCCTTCTTGTTATTGCAGATATCTTCTATAATATGTAAATCTTTTTTGAGAAACTATGTCAAAGTCTTCACAAGATCAATATCGAAAGAAAACAACCACTAATAGTAAGCAGTTAATCTTTCATTTTCAGCTGACTCCATTTTCGATTCTTCTAGATAACTTTTCTGTAAAACAAGAAAATAGTGATCAGCAGCATTCATCATCTATTCAAGTAAATTAAAAAAAGCATATCTATGATTATAATGTGATGATATTTATTGTCTCTCTTGTCTGGCCATCTTCATCATCGAATAATACTTCAACAAAATCATCTGCACTAAGAGAAAAAGAAAATTTGATTCATACTCAAGCATTCCAAGCAACCAATGAGATACCAAATTTGGTGAATCTTTTGAGCTGTTTTATTAGAATAAAACGATGTCAGGTAGAAATTCTATATGATAAATAGAAGACAACCACTATTTTTCACTTGCTTTCTAAAAATTTAATTTCGGGTGGATAAAGATATTTGCACTCCCGGTAAAAATCTTGAAGGGAATCTTGAGCTTCAAGCGCAAGCAGCTGAAAAGGAACAACACAATACCACATGTTCACAGCCGCTAAATTTTGATACAATAGAGATAACGTCATCAATTCCTCGAGATATTCATTTCTATAACTATTTTGGTGTGCAGTGTAGATATCAGACTAAATCATCATGTTTTTGCGCTCCTATATGTCTTTCATTTTCTTACTTTATCTATTTTCCATATCATTAGTGCTCCTATAATTTTGTTTTGCTACATATTCTCTGTGCTACTATTGATCTATTGATTTATCCGTGTTATTTTCACATGACATACAAGTTCACTGCAACAGAATACCAACTGTTCACATAGTTTGTCCACATCGAATTTCGCTGAGGATGGAAGTAAAATATTTTATGGTGTATGTATTTTGCCAAATGCATTATTTTCATTGTCCATTTACAATTCAGTTATATCGATAGACCTTCCTTCTACAATGGGAAGAACAATAGCAGGAATTATTCCATATTTAGTTTTTTCAGGCGTTGGTGTAGCCATCTACGAAACAGTAAATGGATAAGAATTTTTGTTCTGAAACCATGCCAGAGCTTAAACACTCTGTTAGTAAACATAATTTGTTTGTGTGTGTGTGTTATTGTTGCGCGTTTTTATGAAACTATTTTTGTAATTGAAATCGCCTCTACTTATACGCACACCCCTTTATTTATTCTAGATATAAAACTAGTCTTTAACTGAATAATCGTTAAATGAACCAGAGCAACGACAAATGTAACATATTCATGAAAGTGATCTGCTGTTGCTGAATCGTCAATATGACAGAATGGAAGTGATATCACCAACAGAGATAAGTGCTGAAGAATCAATAGATATTCACAATAAAAAGTATAAATGTCATGGAAATAAGAAATTAGTTTCAAACGAAAATGGAGAGCACGAGGTTTGAATGAATTAGAGATCATTACATATGTGACAAATCATTAAAAGAGTCGATGATCAATGATCAAATAAAAACATTAAATAAACGAAAGAAAAGATCATCAAAAGAAAAATTAACAAATAAATCTGAGATATCAGTGAGCCAATCATCTATATCACAAGGAATATTTAAAAAAATGAAGAGTTCTCAGATTGAAATGGCTATGAAAAATTTCGAAATATTCCAATTGATATTATTCGAAAGTTAGCTCTTATTGTCATTAAAGAAAATGTTTCTGTTTGTTAGTCTGTAGACTAACCAAAACGTTTATTATATCTTTCTTCTTGTCGCAAGCTTCCACATCTAACCCAACTTCGCCTCTTTTCCAATACCAGTTCACATAGGTCTCTTGACCAATAGATAGATAAGAGAAGGAAGAGAGGTAGTGGGCAGAGATAGCGCCACTACCTAACACTGTTTATGAGAAGAAATTCTATCAACAAGCCATTGGTGGTGCAATGGGCTTAGGATTTACTTTGACACTAGCTAATATTCTCATGTGCAAAATGAAAGAAACAACTTGCTCACCGACTTGTAACATCCAATGAAATATACGGCTGGTATTTAACATGGTTCATAAAAGAATATACTTTGACTATTATATCTCATTTTAGATATGTTAACAATATTTTCTTTACATCGAACGATTCACTCGAATCTATCGGCCAAATGTTAGATGGAGCTAATAACTTTCATCCAAATATTAAACTAGTGCGACAAATCGGTAGAAGTGTTCCATTTCTTGATGTATTCATTCAGAACAGTAACGGAGCATTAATAACTTCAGTGTATCATAAAGCAGCAGCTGAGTCATATGTGGTACAATTCGGACCAGATCATCCTGGTCATATTTTTGGAAACACTGTTGATACTGCTATTATGATAGCAGTTCGTTATTCAACAACCTTGTCACAATTCGAAGAAGTACGAAAAATGAAACTCATGTTTCTCTATAATGGGTGAGTTTCCGGTATTCATTCACGTTTCTCATGCTTTGTGTCTGACTTATAGGTACCAACCAAGACATATCGATTGGCGACTCAGTACATTATTCAGTAAATATTTATCTAAACATTTCATTTTGCCTTTGCTCAATAACTCTGATGACTTCAGTTATTTACTTCATCAGCTATTGACAACATCAACAGATACAACATACGATACAACAACCAAACGGTCAACTACCTATCAAACTCATGACAAAAACATGCAAAACCAGCTTCCGCAACCCACAGAGAACAACGAATTCACAGCAAGAAAACGTCTCATAATTCATGGAAGGCATGAAAAAAGACTCAGCAATTATCAGCGATATATTCATGAATTGTGGAGTCGCACTTTCGATGGTACAGAGATAATCAATACTTCTCTAAACGTTGGAACTTATTTGAATCCCAATTTAAAACAACAATTGCTGACCAGCATGATCAAACATATTCCACATGGGAGAAGCAATCCAGGGAGCAAAATGCAACATGAAACTGATAAACAAACACAGAATTTTCAAGCAAATCTAACCTGGCAATAATTTTATTTATTGGCAAATTCATGTTGTTATTTATAAATAAATAAAAAATCTCTCAATTCAAAAGAAGATGAAATGCAACAATAGATCTTAGAAACAAACCAACCTACCACTAAGGCACACGATATCATCGCCAATTAACTCCTTTCATAATAGCATCGTCACAAATCTGCATATGATTCCATATCTACAACTATTATCATAAAATGATCTCATCATTCACATTTCGAATAAACCAGCACATCATGTCAATATAGAAAATGAAGCCATTAGCTTCTTACTATCATACAGCTACTTCTTAGAAACAAGCAAACTCAGGACACCCTCTGCACACATGCAGCCAAAATACTTCCAAAGCAACGATCAGCTATTTCCAACATAATTGATTCTCACATAATTNCAATTCACTTTAAACTAATAACATAACATCCATAGGAATGCAACAATAATAACTTATTATTCTCATTTTCGAATCACTTCAATACTTCCGAAAAATAATGCCATCTGATGAGTCCTTTAAGTAAGGACGAAACGGGTCGTAGCTTGCTTTGAAAACACACCCACGCGCTCATCTGCTCCACGATTAACAATTGATGATTCTTTGCACGAAATCAAGACACAAATTCCTAGCTTTTGATTTAAATATTATCATATCAAATCACATCGCTTTGAACAGAATCTATCATTAGATATAGAATTTTTTTCGATATATAACAGAATAGATATTGATTCTTGTCATTTTTAATTTATTTTAAATAATCATATAAGAATTATTTGCCATCTGTAGAGATCCTTAAGCAAGATCGAAACTGATGATGATAGCTTAATCACATTCACACCCTCTTTGATTTATTCTTGGAACTTCCATAAATAATTGGTCTAATATTAAGGTTAAAGAATAGTTATTTGATTAGATTATATTCACGTCGTTATGTGATTTCTAACCTACCTGAAGAAGACTGCCTAAGCAACAGTCGAAACGCGTCGTATGGAGCTTGAAATAATCTATTCTAAAACACACCCACACTCTCAAGATCTGGATCTTGGTATGTTTGACACACCACTGTTTTAAAGGCATCTATCGACTCTAAAATAGGATTCTTCTGAATTTCATTTGAATTTCTTTTGAATTTTGTTTCCAATTCTGAATAGATTATTGTACTTTGTTTGTGATTTTTTTCGGAACAAATTGGTAATCATTCAAAACGAATGCAGCAGAGTCAAAAACAACTGTTGATGACCCTTAAGCAAGATTGAAATCTGGATCTTGGTATGCTTGACACATCTTCGTTGCTAAGATGAAATATCGATATCATGGTAGCTTAACACACCTATTGTTGTTTAAAACTGCGATGTCTATTATCTTGAGATATTTCTATTTCTTTTCTAAACATTTGGAGATTCTAGTGATCTTTAATAATTTTTGTTGAAAATTTATTGGAAGTCAATTCATTTTGACTTAATTATTATTGACCGATATGCAGTTAATTAGATTTTGAAATTACCTGATGGTGATCAGATTAAGCCCTGATCGAAACGCGTCATAAGTAGCTTTGAATCTAAAAAATTCCACTCTAAACACACCCAGCCACACCCACACCCACATTTACGATTCTAGTTCGGTTTTGAATTAGAACAGTGTGAATTTGTCTTTAATTGATTTGCTCAAAATTTTCTTTTCAATTTTAAATCGGTTTTTGAAGATATTAAGCCACCCGATGAGATCCATTGAGCTGGATCGAAACGCATCGTGGTAACTTCCTACACCCACACCCACACACCCTCAACGAGTTCAATATCTATTATGCAACCATCATCAAAAAAATGAAGAATATATCAGAAATCATGACCAAGAATCCAATAATCAATAAAAATAATAATGATATGAACGAACATATAAATTATCGGTATGTGTATATTTTCAAAATTATAATTATCCATCGTATTTATTTTTTGTATATATTTGGACAGCCGATGTATTTAACACGATCATCATCGATACTCTATGAAATATTAAATAAAACTTTAAATTATTCATTCAAGAAAAAAGATGAAAAACGATTTATCAATGTACGACTTCAACTATTAGATCAACAATATTGTTTAGAAAAGGATCGACAATTATGGCAATATTATTTAGATATTGGTTTACAACAACACTTATGGCCAGTAAGTTTATTTTATTTTATCTTCAAATCATTCTTTACGTTCTCTTTTGAATTAATATTAAGGATCAATTTTATACGATGGCAAAGAAAAATGATTTCGATTTGTGTAAACAATATGTAATGAATTATATAGAAAATAATAAAAAACTATTGAATCACTGTCAATTTGAATTAACAAAACAAGAACAACCATTTCAAACATGTCCAATGATAGAATTATCATATGAAAAAATGGAACAACGACTTCAAGAATTAGTGAATCGTGAATGAAAATGTTTATCAAAAAGAAATAGTGATAAGTTGATCAAATTTAAAGATGATATTTCTGAAAAACAACTATTGACAACGATATCCGCGTCTCCTATTATGACCAATCAATAAGTAAATCCATTTGATTTTTAGTCGAATACGTATGTTTTTTATTGAATAATTGTCTCGCCAGAATGAATATATAGATCGATTGATTTCAATACGAGAAAAGCAAGCAGAAATTTGGAAAGAACAATTAATGTTAGAAATACGAATTCATTGTAAATTTTTACTACAACATTTTAATCATCTGGAAGATTTTATCTCATCTATTGGTTATTTACCATTGAATAATAATGCAAAAGCCATTGAAATAAAAAATAAACGTTTTAAAATTATACAAGAAGCCAAACGTCACTGGTTAAATTATTTCTTAAATATTTATCCAATAAAAATACGAGAATATGAACAACAATATCAAAATGAATTCATTAAATTGGAATCACTCTTCTCAAATAATAATGATAATATGATCAACGATACAACAATGTTAAATAATATTAAAGAACATATCAATAATCGAATAAATAGATTAAAAAAAGACATTTATGATAAAATCATAATAATCAATTTTTCATACTTTCTTATCCCTAATAACGAAGAGAAAAGACTTCATTTATTACGTATCAAAAACAAGACATTATCTCTTTCTTCTTTTTCTCCATTGATGAGTCATCGAAAAAGAGCCACTTAGATATGCGAGGCGCTATATATCATGAAAGATGGCGCTATATAACGAAGCCTATCTTATAACAAAGAATACCATTTAAACAATTCATTTAACTGTTCTGAAATTCTTCGTTATTATTCAAATATCTTTCTATAAAAGGTCATTGTAGTTATTCTTCATACTCACATCCACAAGGTATAGATTGATCTGTTTTTAATTCATATATTTATTTCAAATGTCGATTATGAAAAAACATTTATTTTAATTTTAGTTATAAATTACTGAAAATTTATATTTATGTTTAAATATAAATGATAAAATAAATTGTTATATTTTGAAATAAATATTAATTATGGCAAGCTTGATTTATTTTAAACCGAAATTACGAAGAATTAAATTTATCCAAAAATTAAATTAAAAGCTATTGCAAATAGACCCTCTTAGTGTTTACTTAAATCCATTGAGTCAGTCTATTAAAGAAAGAAATCTGTTCCTTGTATGAGTTTTGAAAAAATTTTATTTGAATTAAATAAAAATCGACTACAAAAAAGTTTAAAATTAGAAAAGGATATGATGGTTAGATTAGTATTAAGAAAAACAAGGAAGTGTACTTTAGTGTCTTTTTTTGTGTCCACTTGAACACCATGTGTCGGCTCCACACTATAACGAAAGAAACCATAAACAATCTCCCATTCAGTTTGTACAAAATAACTTACTGTTTTTAATATGCATATTCATATATTTTATTGACACTGTAAAACGAAAGGCGTGGAGTTATTTAAAAACTACGTCCGTATTCAACATAATTTAGAACTGGTTCGACTCTTTGCTCAAACATGTAAAACCCAACTGGGTATGTGTAAGACTGGAGCATCCAGTTTTTCTACCAGATGCTCATAGATATCTGACATTAGACTGAAAATGAAAATGGAAATTGAATGACAGTCATACAATATAAATTCAATTTTTTTCAAGNTTTTTTCAATCAAAATAAGGATATTTATCGAAAACAACGATTTTTCTTACAAAACTTGCCCAAAGGTTTTCAGGGTCGAGGAATTGGAATCTCTAATGAGATTCGGAGTGTTTCCCAAAAATCGCGACCGAACCATTGTGACTCATGGCAAACAAAACTCAGCAGTCATGTTACCTTTTCGCCTCTCACAATTCATTTACCGTCATGCCGCTATTCCATTCGTCCTCTAGGAGGCATTACACGTAATCCACGACCAACCTTGCTCAATCGATCTCACGGATTCCGTTCATATTTTTATAGTCGGTAGCCCCAACAAAATAAGGAAGAAACTGAAAATTGCAGCTCGAATGAATGATCCGTTCTGGAGATATATGCACTCGCAGTAAGATGGGTCGGATTTTTTATGCATTGACAATTTTCAGTAAATTTTCAGTTTTTCAAGAACGATAAGAGCTGTAACAAAACCATTTTCACCACCAACAGTATTGAAAGTATCTTATGTTGGAAAAACATTTCTCCATACGATCGATCTGACTCGGAAAACATGACTCCAGTCTATGGGACGAATTGGTCATATCAGTGAGGTGGGTGAATGTAAATATAATCTTACATGAAAGAGAACATCAAATTGCATCGAATGATGTGTTCAAAACGTTTCTATTTTGATTTTCAACAGCGAAAAATGTTTTAACAAGATTATGATATTTTCGAGAATAACTCATTGGAAAGCAAAACAGTTGTGCTAGTTCTTTTATACATCATTTTTATATATGCAAATATTTGTAATATTATGATAGCACGTAAAATTCTCTACATTTCTATTCAAAAATATCTTCAATAACACATATTGCATGAGAAAAAAGGCACAATAAAGACACCCTAGTCCTCAGATTTCTCCAAAACCTAATTTTCTCTCTTCTATTAAATTTTCTAATCAGGTAAATACAAAATCATCCGTGTATTCTGGTAGCGCTTGAAATTCTGCATCTTTTGATGTATCACTCAAAAATCACTAAGATGCGGAAGAGTATTTAATACAGAGCATAATAGTCACGTTCAGTGAAAATCATCTAAATAACTCTTCGTATTTAGGCTATAATATCATTATATCTTACTTTGATAGAGAAACAAAGAGCACTCAGAATTAACACGAAAAACTCCACTAATCATGATACCTTTTATAGCACAATATTTTTTACCGAAAACTCACCCACAATACCCTTCAACAGTGTGTTTTTGAAAATTGATCCTTAAATCCCCTTCAGGTGAATTTTCGGTAAAAAATATTTTTCTACAAAAAGTGGACTTTTTCATATTGATTCTAGGTGTGCTATTTGTTTTTCTACCAAAGCTATAACGATAAAAACGTCTAGATAGAAAGACTTAGATGATTTTCACTGACTTTGATTATAATGCCGCGTACTAAATACTCTTCACATCTTGGTGATTTTTGAGTGATACATCAAAAGATGCAGAATTTCAAGCGCTACCAGAATACATGAATGCATTTGTATTTACCTAACTAGAAAATTTAATAAAAGAGAGAAAATTAGGTTTTGGAGAAATCTGAGGACTAGGGTGCCTTTATTGTGCTGTTTTTTCTCGCATGTAATATGTGTTATTCAAGAGGTTCTTGTATAGAATTGCAGAAAATTTTATGCGCTATCAAAATACGTACGAATATCTTAATTTATAAAAATAATATATAAAAAATAATGAGCATAACATTCGATGCAATTTGATGTTCTCTTTCATATGAGATTATATTTACATTCACTCACCTCCCTGATATGACCAATTCATCCCATAGGCTGGGGTCTTGTTTTCTGAGTCAGATCGATTGTATGAAGAAATATGTTTCCAACATAAGCTACTTTCAATACTATCAAACGATAGTCCATTGACTATACTATTAATTCTAAAAGAAGATTTGTTACAGTTCGTACCGTTCTTGAAAAAATGAAAATTTACTGAAAATTATCAATGCACAAAAAATCCGACCCCTTTTACTTCGAGTGCATATATCTCTAGAATGAAGCATCCGTTCGAGCTGCAATTTTCTGTTTCTTCCTTATTTTGTTGGAGGTGTCTACTATAAAAATATGAGCCAAATGGGTGGAACCGATTGAGCAATGTTTTGCTGTAGTTTATCATGGCTTACGTGCAATGACTCCTGGGGTGTGCAGGGCTAGAGTAGGACAATGAGATACGAAGGGGATAGTATGCGGAGTAGACTGGAGCGGGATGAATTTACCGTTGGCGAACATCCATCTCCCGCCTAGAATCAAGATTGACTTGCCAATACAGACCCGCATATGTATCTTGGCAACCAATGGTATTTTTCGAAATTCTCGAGTTCAATCTTGTTTGAATGGAAGAATCTATACCCTGAAATTTATTCATGTTTCATAAAGTTCAATTTTATGTCTTCTCATCGAAAAGAAGTGAACTCTAGAATATCGGAAAATCAATTAGAGATTCAGATTTCTCGCCTCCAAAAATCTCTAGTCAAACTTTGTATAAAGTGGTTATTTTCATAAAGTAGCCTTTTTTTGATTGCATATAAATCATTTGAAATTATGGCTCTTACTCCTAGCTATGATCTTAATTTTCAATCTGATGTCAAGATGGTGAAAGTGCCGAAAGTGTCTTGTAGATGATGAGATGTTCAGGATTCTAAATCTACATTTCCCCCCTTAGTAAAACCTGTTACATTTTATAAATGGTTGAAAAATGTTACAAACATTACCGTTGTAGTATGTTTTTCTTTTACTATATGTGATACGATGGCTTCGTTGTGCTAGGTCGTCTATTTTTCTAATTGGACATCTTCTTCAGCAACATACCATTGTTAACCCTTAAATATATCCTCGCATTAA